CACAATAGTGTACCGGATGCACTAAGTAGGAAAACGCAAGAAGTGTTTGCGGCCCTTACTAGTGTGCAATTTGATTTTACACAGCGTGTTCGGGATGAATGCAAAGACAATGCGGAATATGTTAAGTTATGTGAGCAAGTGAAAGAAGGTTATGTGCGAAGGTACTGGTTAGAAAACGGGTTGTTGCTAGCACAAGGAGGGCGTTTGTACATCCCATCTGGGAAACTGCATCAAAAATTGTTAATATCGGTCCATGATGTTGTATGGGCTGGATACCCAGGAAGTGAAAGGACGCAAGCGTTGTTGGAACGCAGTTACTTTTGGCCTAGCATGCATGCGGAAGTGGAGGCATATGTGAAGTCATGTCACGTGTGCTAATTAGACAAGACTGAGCGTCACAAGGAAGCGGGCTTATTGCAACCATTGTCCATTCCAGAGAAGCCATAGGTTCAGTTTTGATGGATTTTATTTCAGGGTTTCCCAACGTGAACGGGCAAAAATCTATCATGGTGGTGGTAGATCGCTTTATGAAGTATGTTGTGTTCATCCCGGCTCCTAATGTGTGTCCCGCCGAGGAGGCAGCAAGCTATTTCTTGGGTATGTTGTTAAATATTTTGGCTTACCGCAAGATATTTTAGTGATAGGGATTTTGGGTTGCTTTGTTTAATTTGTTGGATTCGAAATTAAAATTCTCGACTGCCACAGATGGATAAAGAGTATCTAAGACATTATGTTACATTGGCTGGAGTTGTTAGATCCTACTCAGTTTTGCTATAACCTCCATAAGAGTTCGGCGACGGGAATGAGTCCTTTTGAACTTGCTATGGGTTGGCATCCACTTACGCCACATGAAGTCATAAAGCAAAGCAAAGATGTGGGCTGCCGCGCAGCGCATCGTTTTGCCACAAATGTAATACCCCGTATTTTCATACGTATTTTTTAATTAATTAATCAGGAATTATTTTATAAAAAGGGTATTTTAGTAAATTTATTATTTGGAGCCAAAATAATATTTGAATTTTGGCGCCAAAAGTAGTTTGAAAACTAATCATTATTTTGGATAAGATTTATTATCCATTTATCCTATTTTAAAAATCGGATTATTTACATATTTCGGATATTTTAATTAAAGAAAAATAATATTTTATTAATTATTTTATTATGGCCGAAATTTTCCAATAATTAGCTAGGATTTTCGGATTTTCCATGTATGGAAAATCTGATTTTTCTTGGTTATTTATTGGTAAATAATTGGTATTTAATTAATTAATTAATTATTTATTTAATTACTTATTTTATATTATTTATACAACTATTTTATTCCTTAAAAACCGTGCAAAATCTTCCTAAATATATTTATAGGAGTCCGAATATTTGAGCTATGGTAAGCTCAATATTTTCGGCCCTATCGAATTATTTTAGGGGAATTTAATTGGTAAAATTATATTTTTAATTATCTCCCAAAATCTCTTATTTTCCTTAATTCTAATCCTCCATCTTTTTAATATCTAATCATCATATTTTCTTGCCATTCATTCTTCTTAATTATTCCCCAAGTAATTCTGCTTTATTATTTTTCATTATATACATACCTTCCATATTCAAGTATACACAATCACCTTAATATCCAAACTTTCCTTAATTCTTTTACTCACTTCTCCAAGTAATTCCTTAAATCCTACTTACCATAATTCTTCCCAAGTTCTCTTGCCATAATTCTTGCATGAGCTAGCCTATAAATACCCCTCTATACCTCTCACATTCTTCACACCAATTCTTTACTTTTCTTCTCCTCTTTTTACACAAATCATCTCATTTATCTTTAAAGTCATTGACGTTTCACAGAAGATTGTTCCTCTCGAGGTTAGGCTCAAGAATCACCCAATTCGGAGTTATATCGAAGGAGTTATAGCCTCTGCAAGTTCTGCCTATTCTTTCCAACGCAAATCCAATACTTCTTTTCTCCTTGGTTAATTATCTTTTCTTCTTCTCTTCTCTTATTCAATTGTTATTATAATTATTATGGGGGAATTTATAAAATAAAATTATTATGACATGTATTAATTATATAAAATCAGATTTTTAATAATGTTTATGATAAATTAATTTACGAGGTTCACGTACATATAGTTGGGAGGTTTTTAGTTTAATTATTTGTGATTATTTGTTAACCTTATATTAATTAAGGTTATATTTATTTGTAGGGTGTGTTCGAGCAAGAATCTTAAGGTTTTGTTTGTGTGTTTTAATAAGCAAGGATCAAGGTACGTTAGGTGGTTAGATACCTTGAAAAAGATTGATTTGAATGAGTGTGTTTGAATGATCTCTTGTGATGATTGAATTATGGTTTATGAAATAAAAGCATGTTTCAATAAAATGCTTTTAATAAATAAATTGGAGTATTGATTTTATATCATGCTTTAAATGAATTAATTTTTATTCATGTTTAAAAAGGTTTTATTTTGAAAGCATGTTGAATTTAAAGAGGAGTTTTGGAATTATTATTAAAAGTTGGATGTATTGGATTTAAAGAGGATTTATTGAATTATTATTATTAAAGCTTTATAAGCATGTTAGTAATCCCACTATGCGGATTTGGTTTATTTGATAAGCCTATGGACTTTGTATGACCGAGTTTATCATCAAGAATAGCCTTGTAACATAAGGAGACTAACTTGGGGGGCGTGCACACTTGAGAGAGGAATTGGAATTGGTTTTGAGTAATTAGAATTGGTTTTAAAAGGAATTGGTTTTATTAAATTTGAATATTGATTGCTATTGGAATTGGCTTTGGAATCTTGAGTTGGAAATATTGATTTAATTATTGGAATGGATGGAATTGATTTTCAAAAGCATGTTTATGAATAAATTGAGTTTAATTATCTCACACTTATCGTACTTAGCATATTTTGTTAATCCTTATTTCTTATTTTGTTTTGGTTCGCCCTGTTTACCTTAATGGTGAGCAATGTTGACTAATTCCATGTGAAGTCATAAATGAGCATTTGAAGTCCCAGGAATGGTTCATTTAGATTAGAATGTGTTGGTTCTTGTATTTTATTTCCGAGTACTCATAAAATTGGTTACTATTTTTAGTCTATTATTAAATAAAAAGAGTTTTGAAGTTTTCGCTGCAAAGTATTGGTTTATTTGGTAAGTTTGAGTAGCCTTGCGTAATCACGCGGTGGTAATACGCCTAAGTCTTCAAGTGGGGGAGGTTTGTAAGACCCCTATTAAGCCATGCGCGGCATGGCGTGCCTGGACAAAGGCTTGGCTAGGTGCTAGGCCTTGTACTATTTACTATATGACCCTATGGTGTGGTTAATAAGTAAATAAAGGCATATATGGTTGCCTCTATATATTAGCTTGGTAATCTAAGGTTCATTGGATGGACATTGGACCTAGGGGTTAGGGCCAATAGTCCATTATCGTGTTTGTGTCAGTGGCGTGTTCACTAGTTTTACAAGCGTAGAGCAAAATAAAGCTCTATAGGGGGAAGGTGTCTCTCATGGCTTGGTACGGCCATGGGCGCATCATTGGCTAAGGCCATGATGCATGATTCTAAGTATGGCGTGGGCTATCTAGGACTTGGGCACAAGGTTTGCTTGGTAACTTAGTGGGCTAAGTGATTTGGGTTTGAGCGAAGGCTCGTGGCGAGTCTTTGCTGGTACGTGCTCGGCATGGCTGCGAAGCGACGCGTCGGTTGGGCCTGGCGTCGGTGCGGAGCATTGCTCAGTCAACGCCACGGTACACCGAAGCGATGTGACGCTTGGGCACCGGTGCGGTGTTGCGAAGCAACGCGACGCTTGGGCTCTGGCACGGTGCTTACAAGGCAACACGTGGGTGCAATGCCTAGTGGGAGTTAGCACTGATGGTTGAAGTTATTCCGTATGTGAAGGGATGCTATGGAATGCGAAGCAAGGCGTTGGTTGGAGCAAGATGACAGGTATGCGAACGGTTACAATCTATGGATAAGGATTGGATGCTTAGCCAAAGCGAAGCGACACTTCACAATGTGGATGACGGTTTATGGGCAAAGGCATTCTGAATGGAGCAAAGAGACACGAGTGATGATGGTGGCGATCCGCGACAGATTAGTTAGGATTCCTGACTTGTATTAGATTACGGTTTATTGCATGAGCGCCACTTGGCATGCATGCGTGATTAGTGTCTATTCGCATTGGAGGGGGTTGTCCTCCTTTGCCTATAAATAGATGACCTTGGGGTCTGTCCAAGGCATTCAGAAACTATTGTGTAAATACGTTATTAATCATATTAATAAAAGTATACTTTGTGTTATATCCTAAGTGTTCTATCGTGTTTATTATATTGTGCATTCTTATATAAAGTTAGTATGAGAAGTTAGGTTGGTTAGTATATCTAACGCCATCATAGTTAGTGAAAAATTTAACTGTGACAAAAAGCATGGTGAAAATCCACGTAGCATAAATGCATAATAGCACATAATGGAGGATACATGTGAGATGATTCTGTGATTACAATTGACCACATAAGGTAACGATACACTTATATACTCTTGTATGCTAAGTAATTCAAGTGAGTGAGACAGAAAAAGAATTAGAGAAGAAGATAATCTAACCAACTTCTATGCCGAAAGAGAAAACTTTGCACTATGCACAGTAGATAAGCTAAAACTTGAGGGGAAAACAACCATATATCTCATTAACCATATAAATTGATGCATGATATATTTTCTGGAGATTTTCAAAATGAGAAACTCCAAAAAGCTAGCATAAAAATGACCCAGACACATTTAATCCCATTGATTTATAGTCTTACAAGGATACATAGAGTACAAAATATTTTGTCTTCATACAATTGTACAATGTCATAATAAGCTATCCTACTCTACTAACAATTCATGTATCATATAAAATTAAACAATCTTCCTTATTGATATATCATATATGGCTTCTTCTCCATAAGTCATTCAGACAGGATTCTTGCAAGACAAGATATAATTGTCCAATAAAACTTACATAACTTACAGATAAAATGTATGGTTCATTTGGAGGAATGTCAACTTGGCCACAAACCGCGTCAAGATCGAGCAATACATACTCTTCTTCCTGATTGCAATCAATATTTGCATTATCTATCTCCATAATCTACAAGGCAACAAAGCACAATGTCATAAGTTGTAAGGTAACTGAAGTAGTAAGCTTCAAGGACTAAGAATGAAACTTGATAACTTATTTTAGGATACAAGATATGTACACAAAATTTCTCCATATTAAACTTAGTCTTAGGAAAGCCATCTGACCGACATTTCGAAATAATTTCTAAAAAATAATCATTTCTCTTCTCATATGGATTGAAAAACATAAGATCAAATTTGGCATCATCTCACTAGCTTTTAAAAACTCCCTCAGATGCAAAATAGTCCTAAATTACAAAAAAAAAAAAAATACAAGTGTTCACAGAGGCATTTCAACAAACAGGTTCTGGGCATTCCACAAAACTCTGATTTCTTCTTTCTAGAGAAACAAGGAAACACTGTCAAATTGTTCAGTTCATCAACTCAAGTAATCTTCAAAATAATCCCACTACAATTCCAACTTCAATCAAATAGTTCAATTTGATCCCAACATTTGCTGAATTATGCCCTTTAGTTCTTGATCATATCATGATTAATTCTTGAAATTGGAATTGGGATATATGGAAAGGAAATAAAAAGAAAGAATAGGGAAAATTATACGGAGAAATTATAATATTTTCTTCATCAAAACTCGGAACTAACCTGAATATTTAGGGCAATCGCAATTTGTGCTTCTGGATTTTGGGAATTGTATGCTCCCGCAAATTTGCAGAGAAAGGGAGGGGAGAGTATCACATAGCACCTTGGGAGTTTGGGATGAATAAAATGTAAATTAGAATAAACTTAGGCCTATTATCTTCGCCTTAATTTCATTTCAGTTGAGTTCGTTTTTAATTTCCTTCTTTTATAAACAATTCATTCCAATTTTATTAGTTCAGTTCAGTTCAGTTCAACTCACCTCGGTTCAGTTCAGTTCAGTAAATTAGAATAGACCCTTGGTCGTAGCTCCAACCCTCCAAGACATACTGCGTATATAGTTAGACCTTAGACATAATTAACTCTTAAGTCTCCAAGATACACGAGCTTAGTTCAATCCAACTAAAGGTGGGTCGTGGGCATAGGTTGAGCCAGCATGAGGGCCGACTGGGTATGACATGAGTTAATCACTAGTTCAACATGCATGAGAGGCACGTCAATAAGCCATGTGAGGTGCATGTATATCAGTTTAAAAATTTGACACAAGCAAACACTAAGTTAGCACGTGTGTTGACTTGATTACCTCGAACAATCCACCAACAATATAAAAATTCCTTCATCCTAAGGAGGCTTGCACAACACATGATGGGTCAGGCTATACATGCAGTTGCGTGCCTACACAATAAAATAACCAAAAAAAAAAGTAGATGAAAAGATAAATGTTAAAATATTAGGTGAATGTGAATCCATGAGTTAACGTGTTCGGTATTCTTTTGATATTTATTTGTTAGATTAGAAAACCTTAACATAAGCCCTAAAGCAAATCGGATTAATAGAAGTTCCCCATCATTTGGCATTTGCGCCAGCAAAGAATTACTCCGTATGAAATTAACAAAGGATTGAACGCTCATAATCAGTTACTAATTTCGCCAAACAGTTACCCACTTCATTAGGGTGAAATGTCTTAAACATCCACATTGGACAACGCAATTTGACTATCTTACCCCTTGATTTTTTTATTACTCGTATTTTTTAGTTCACAAATTCTTATATGAGGCTACTTCGTCAATGATAAAGACTTAAAGGGGTTATCGGTCAGTGTTATAGGGGTTATTTGGTCGATATTGTAGGGGTTATTCAGTTAGTGTTATAGAGGTTATTTTTATTCTTTTACAAGCGGTCACACGGTGTGGTCAATCACACACAATACAAACTGTTTTTTGGTTAATAGGAAAAAGGGCCTATTGTTCCAAAACTTCTCACATATCCCCCCGACCCGAGTAGGTAATTTTATCATTTTATATTTATTTTAGTAGGTAAGATGAAGTGTCCTATCAGATCGAAACCTCTCACAAGTCAATATGACCTGGGCTGCCGGCTAGAAGATTTGAAAAAATAAGAGTATATAAGAAAATTTCATACTTTATGGGAATTGAATCTCTAACTTCATAGTTAAAAGGTGCTCTCATTTCCACTCTATCAAACTTACCTCCCTGTAGGTACTTTTGAAGTTTTGATATACTAGTAGTCTAGTACTTCTCGTTTGGTATTCTATTGTTTCTCGTTTCATACTCCGTAATTTTTTGAACAAAAATATCGTGAGTTCCTCAATATTGCCAATTTGCGATCAGCAGAGCCCAAAATTAGTGAATCAAACCCTAAATTGAACCAAAAAAAAATCAATAAATATGTCTGAAATTGAATCCTCAATCACAGAATTGCATAATGCTGCTACTGCTGATCATGATGATCTAAAACAGAAGAACGACAATGATGAAGATGTGCTCAAATTCATGGATTCCGTTGATTCTTACCTTCTTTTACTCGATGAACTCTCCTCCACTCTTCGTCAGGTTCTATTTACTTACTTTGATTTCTCAATTCCTAATTTACTTTTTCATCAACTTGTATATCTGCTATCTTCTGCTAATTACGTTTCAATTTCTTGTTATAAATTGATTGAAAATCGAGGATGAATTTCTAGGGACGAAATTCGATTAATTTCTGCTCTATTGCAATTTATTGATTTTCTATTATAATTAAAACTTCAAATGTCTGTGTTTATCAATTTGTTGATTTTCTATTGTATGCAAATTGGGAGGTTTTTTTTTTTTTTTTAAAAAAAAAATTCCTTTTTACAGATTAATGTTTCTGAAAATGCACTCTTGTTTGTATTTTAGCTGTTTACTAAAGCTGTGGCAAGTTCTTGTTGATTATAATGGAAATACACTTTGTATATTACATTAGTTTGGAACTTGAATGATGTGTAAACAACTGAGGCATCGATTATTCAATTGTTATTGTAATGTCATGCTATGGTGTCTAGATTATCGGCGATTCTCCACAGTGATGATCTAATCGAATATCACCACTCCTAGAATAAAGCCCTTTACAATAGGGGTGAGGTTGGTGCAATCAATAGAGGAAGTGTGGTCTTATGTTTTTGCTTACTTAACCCTGTTGTCTCTTGATTATGATATTGTGTTGTTTCTGTTTTTGATACTTAAGCTTACAACACGTTGGTTTCAGGGATGGTTTGATTTTGCTAGTGCTCGTTATTCCATGGGAACTTCACGCGTCAATAGTGTTTTATTGGACCTTAAAGAACACTCAGCTGCCACTCGTTTGGAAGTAGAAAAGGGTGATGGTGAGAGTTTGAAATTTTACTATCATGAATTGGCAATTTTTTTTGATATGTTTGAGTATCTTAAGCTGTCAGAGATGATATTGAAATTGGATAGAAATATTGGACAGAAGAGAGGAGTCAGGGATACAATATGCATGTATTGTTTTCAGATGGTGATCTGAAAAGAATTGTTTCAATTAAATGTAGAAATGACGGTTCTAGACTTCTAGTACTAGAAAATATGCTAGTTATTTGCAGATTGAAGCTTAGTATATTTCTTTGGTACAAACTTTCTTAACAGTTTCATTTAACAAGTCTAGATATTTGTTTTTAAACTTTCAATATTAAATTGTTGCAGAACCACATTTTACTCTCTGCAAGTGGGTATCCGAGGATGCTGCAGATTCTGAGAAAATGAAAGAAGGAAATAGCGGGTTACAGCAGAAATCTGAAAGTATGCGCCAGCGACACAAAGACGTATCTCAAACAACAGGTAATAAACTTAGGTCACTGTATATGAACTGGTGAGCTTGAGCAATATGTTTTGTGTAATGTGAAACACTATCTGTTAAAGTGTTTATTAAGGATTTGGCTGGATCCTCGTTTCTAAATATTAGATTTAACGGCTTTAAAATCATTTTGTATCCTACAGATGTTTGTGTGCTGTTTCTTGTATCCTTTCTGGTTGGGTCTAGCTGTCCAGAGAGATTTACTGATAGTCTCCTTGTTGTTTGTCTGGATAGCCAAGGAAGATAGCTCGCCAAGTGGATCATCAAATCCTTTTGCACAGGTACAGAAGGAAAGATCAAAGTCACTTGCTGTTTTCGGCTCATTAGGTTCTCCTAAATTGGGAGCTGCTCAACTTTCATTTGAAACAGGTTTGAATGTTCTCTTCGTTTCTTTTTACTCATCACCTGTTCTATGAACTTTTAACATCTATTATAGCAACTTTTTGTTTTCTTGTAATAATATACATCTTATTTTTCTAACATACAGCCTTGGAAAAACTGGTTGAGATAGCAAACATGCGGGCATCAATGCTACATGCTTTCGAACAAGTACATCAACGCATAGATGGCATTGAGGACTAGTACAAGTCATTCGGTATCAATTCTAAATTTCATATGGTTGATCCTTTACAGTATTTGATCTGGAGGTGTCAAATCGGATCACCTTGTCTGTTTTTTCCCACTAATTAAGCTCCACATACACTGTCATTTTTCTTTAATGTTCTGCTCTCTCTTTTTTTTTTTGGATTTCTTTCTGCTTTGACCTTGTGCATTTTACAGTGTTCTATAAGTTTTATGACCTTTTGCATTTTACTCCACTAGTATAATTTTTTTTAATTGTTTCTAAAAACTGTTCAGCTGTTCTACTCCCTTAAATTTCTTGTTTCTTTACTTTGTGCATCTTATCTTTTTTTACTAAGATTAGCTGAAGGATCAAACTCTTGAGGTGGAGCTAGCACCTGTGTTGATGAAGTTGCTAAAAGCTCCCTGAAGAAATTTGCTCAAAGCCTCATCTTGTACAATTAGCCGAACTGTAGCCGGAAGTAGTATTGGTTTAACACATTGCTCAAGAATCAAAACCCAACTGTAGGTAGACTTGTTCTAGTCAAAGTATCTTTTACGGAGTATTTATTGCCTTTCTCACCCAGTGTCTCCTGCCCATGACCAACTAAATGTTTAACTTCTTTTTCAAAGCCTGACTTCTTTCAGAACTGTTCTTAGGCCCTCAACTCATGATAGTAACTTGCAGCCTCTACCCAATGAATTCCTAATGTTTAATTGGAAAGCTCAGATTAATTTAGTAAATAGGGTTTGCGTCTGTGATCATGAGCTCCTCTTAGTCCTCCCAGCATGAAGTGTAACAGGCTAACAGCTCTACTGATCAGGCTCCCAACAGGACTTAAAGTCTTAAACCTGTGGTACCTGTGATTTAAACCTCAGTATGACTGTGGGAACTCTACTGCAATGTCTCCATTTCTGGTTTTGAATTTACTCTTGAATCTTGATACTAGCATACATAAATCACAGAATATGGAAGTAGGCAAGTAAAATAGAGCTAAGGGATAATGAACTTTGTTAGGTACCTCTTCATTATTTCCAAGTTGTAAGCAACTGAAGAATTCTTTTGGATTGTCAACTTGGATAGACCTAGGAAGGTGTTGTTTGGGAGGAAATTAGTGGCCAAACCTCAAAAGAGATTCTATCAACTGATTCACCTCAAAGATAACGGTTACATTGGAAACATTCTCATCCTCTTTTCTTCTTCCTGCTTATGTTTACCAAACTTTAGAATTTACTCCTATACCTGGATGATTGGTAGTTTAGTAGTGAGTCCAGAAAATAACACTGACAGTGCCCCTTTGAATAACTTGGTGATATCCTTTGTTAAAATTTGCATTAAGTAGCATCATAAGCATTGGTGGTGTCCTCTGTTTCTCAGGATTCCTTATGAAAATGTAGTTGGCTCATGGTTAGACTATTCACTTTAAATTTTGGACCTTCAGCTAACAAAACGTATTTTCTTTGCTAGGTTTGTTCAATC